GGGAGCTTCTCCGAACTGCAGAGTCTCAGGCCCCACCCCGCATGGACTAAACCAGAATCTGCATTTTGACAAGCCCCCCACGAATCACTGGAACATGAAATGTTAGTGTGAACTGAGGCAGCCAGCAGACTGAGTGAGCAGGGTCCGCGTGCAGGAGCAGAGCGGGGGGCAGCCCGTGGGGTCCGGACAGGCCAGGCTGACCACTGAGAGCCTATCCTCCCGACATCGAGAGCCACTCAAGGTTTCTGATTCAGGGAGTGACCCGACACAAGCAGTGCGGTGAAGGGCGGAGGACGCAGGGAGCAGGGAGGAAGGCAGATGATCGGTGCATGGCATGGGAGATGGGCAGACTCAGGGCCACTCTGGGTCTCTGGTCTGCCCCGCTAGCCCTGCCATCTGAATGCCCACAGCACAGTGGCCGCCTGTTCCTGGAGGCAAGGGGGTAGACAGGCCAAGGTCCCCAAGTGTCCTGAGTCTGGTCCACTCGAGCTATCTCTGCAGACGCTGGCCACCCTCCCACAGAAGGGCCCCGAGACCACCAGTGGCCATCAGTGCCCACACTCTTCACTCCTAGACGGCCCGGGGATACGGAGTCACAGGGCTTAGACACGGGACGGGGAGTATAGGAGATGCCCGGCAGGGTCAGTGATCAGGGGGTTGACGAATCTCCTCTCCCAAGGACAGAAGAGTCTGACCTGATGGTACAAAGTGGGTGTACCGACCACTTTCAGCTCAAGGTCTACTCCTCACCCTAGGCTGACCTCCAGACACACTGCCTGCCCTCTCCCCCACCGCGGCTGAGCTGACCGTGTCTCGGGGTCCCTGGAGAACTCAGGGCGCCAGGTCTCAGGGAGAAGGCAGGATTGGGAAAGAGGGAGGGGGGCTATTTCCCCCAAGTACTCATCTGCTCCCAAGACCCAGGAAGTCCCGGTGTCGGTCACACAGCTTTCTTGTGAGGGAAGAGGAGCTGGGAGTCTCCAGCCAGAGATGGTCCCGGGAAGGAAGAGTGGGAGGTGCCTTCAGAGTCACCCTAAATCCTGCCCCTGCCCTAATCCAGCACTGAGGTCTGCCTGCTGGCCTTCCTACTAGGTGAGCACGGAGGGCCACAGAGCTTAGAGCAGGAGCAACCTGCTCACCCCGCCCGGAGTGACCAGCGTCATTCCCGCGGCCCCCCCTTCTCACCTCCCCTTTCTCCACCGACTCCTCCCACACCTGCTTCCAGCTCCAGACCCAGACGGTGCAGTTCTGCAGCCTGACACCAGAGGGCGCGGCAGAGCCCCTGCCTGAGGCTCCAGGAAAACTCAGGGCTGCCCACGCCCCCCCAGGCCGCACCCACCGCCCCCTCCTGCCCCAGGTTCCCAGCCCATCTGACCCGCGGGCCTCAGCTCAGAGGAACCAGGCAATTCCCATTAGACAGCCCAGATCCACCCTAGCTCTCTGAGAAAAGGAGGAAGGGGCTGCGGCTTCCAAAGGGATCTCTACTAAATTCCCTCACTTCTACTGAAACAGGTCCTCGCTTGGGACCCCAAGCACAGGACATGTGACACAAGATGCCCTCCCTGATAGGGCCACTGCCCGAAGAGACCAGGGTTCCAGGCCCTTTCCCCTCTGACGGACCTCCAGGTTCATGGATCAGCCTGAAAACACCTGGCCTGGCCCCCACACCCCCCGATGCTCACCCGCTCATCCCCTCGCGTGGACTCGTTGTCCAGCAGGGGCTCCCCTGGGGCCTGGATCGTCACCGACTTGTCGCCACGGCTCCCATCTCGGCTCTTAGAGCGGTGTCGGTCCCGGCGGTCCCTGCAGCAGGCGGCCGGGGGCACAGGTCAGAGGGGGGACCTGGGTCCTCTTCTCAGCAACAACTACCCCCCCACCACCCCTGTGCACGCCCACCTCTCCCCCCACCCCCCTAACCCTCCGCCACCCGTGTCGCCCCCACGTCTGCCCACCTGTGCTTGCGGGAGCTGCGGGAGTGGCCCGACTTGTAGGAATAGCCCGAGTACTGGGACTCCGTGTCCATGGCGTCCGAACGCCGGGCCTTGTAGCGCTCCAGGGCCACAGGCTGGGGCCTTTTGGGGGGCCCCACAGCCACCTCCTTCAGCACCGGCTTCTTCAGGCCAAGGGGCACCTTCAGGAAATCAACCGTCACCCTGAGGGACTCTATTTTGCTGGACGGGTGGGCTTGTCTCAGAGAAAATCAAGCGACGCACCTGAGAAGAGGAAGCCGTCGGTCAGGAGAAGCGGCAGCTCCCGTGGGGTCAGGGCAGAGAGGTGACCGGCCCCGAAGAGCGGCCGCCGCAGGAAGCTGTACTGGCCCAGCCGCTGCCCCAGACCAGTCCGCCCCGGTTCCCGCTCCGTCCAGTGGGCCCGGTTCCTCCTGCCCGGCCTCCTAGAAAGCGCACCCCGAGGCTGTGCCAGGGGCTCGGGGCGGACGGGCAGCAGAGGCCGCTAGGAATGACCCAGCCCGGGACCCCCCGGAGCGGAGAACCAGGGCAACGCTCTCCTCGTTCTCGGCCAGGAAAGCCGTGGCTCAGAGACGGCAGGCTCTGGCCAGGCTGACGGGCTGGACCGACGGAGACCGCACAGAGCACAAAGCAGCTGGCCTCTGTCCAGGCCTCTCTTTCCCCCTCACCTTCCCCCCACTCGTGACTTCTGAAAGGGCCCACGGGGGGAGGGGCTGCTCACAGCCGTTTCTCTTGTCCCAGTCTAGCCAGAGCCTACGTCAAACCAACCCGGAGTTACAGGCCAGGTCAGGCTGGCTGCTCCACGGAGAGTGTGTGTGTGTGTGTGTGTGTTCATGCACACCAGGGGAGCGGGGTGAGGGATGGAAACTATGATAACGTGGGTGGGGGGAGCAGGGAGGAGAAGACCGCGGAAATCGTTCTCCGAAGGCCCGAAGTGCTGAAATGGGCCATGCACTGGGGAGCCTTCCTGGCTGTGCGCGTCCCCAGGGGCAGCGTGTGTATTCGGTCCGTTCACCTTCTACCTCTGCAGAGAATGAGCTCTTCTTCCTCCCGGCTTCCCGACCCTCAGCCGCATCCTGCTGGGTCCTCAGAGCCCACCCACCACCAACTAACAGCCAACCTGGCATCTTGCCCTCGGGCCCACCTCCACCAAGGCACGCGCGCGTTTCCCAGCCTCCCTTGCCGGGCCACCAGCTCGCTCTCGGGCACCTGTGTGCATCATGCACCCTGCGAGGCCCCGGGGAGTGGCGGGGGGCGGGGGGCGGGGGGGGGGGACAGCGGGGGACCCGACCCCGCGTCTCCAGGCTGGCGGGGCACAGGCACGCTGAACAAGTAAACTGGAGTATGAATGGCCAACTGCAGGAGTGATGGCAGGAACAGGGCGGAAAACCAGGAGAGGCAGCGCTGGGGGCTGCGACTTTGCACTGAGCGGTTCTAGAAAGTCTCTCTGAGAAAAAGACACCTGAGCCTGAGGGAGAACGGCACTGGGCCAGGCAGAGAGGTGACAAAGGCAGGAAACCGCACTGGGGAGACCGAGGGCAGCAAGGAGCTTGGCAGATTCCAGGAACCAGAAAAGGCCAGGGCAGCGGGAGCCGACGAAGATGATGGTTGGAGGCGGCCAGGGGCCAGGTGCAGAGCTCGTGTTTCCCCCAAGCACAAGGACGACGACCACAGGAAGCCTGCGAAGGATTTTAGCTGGGCCGGCGGGGACTGGGGGAGGGGCGAGCAGACATGGGAACACAAGGAAGGAAGCTACTAAGGCGGCCGGAGGCAGCGAGCGGGCCTGGAGGAGGTGACAAACAGCCGGTGCGAGACGTGGTGGTAGGATCAACAGGGCCCACTGAGGTCTGGCTGAGGGGAGGGGAGCGCCCAGGATCCCTGGCCTGAGCACGAGAGGAAGGCAGGGGAGGAGGCAAGTCTGGGGAGGGAGGCAGTGAGCTCCATTTCCAGCGGGCTAAGGTCACGGCCAGGAGACAGGTCAGGTGAGCAGCAGGGTTTCAGAGGAGCCAGACTCAGGAGAGTCTGAGCTGGAGGTGCGCAAGGTCACGGGAATGGATAGGGTCACCTAGTGAGAGGAATAAATAAGAGGGTTCCTGGGAAGCCCAGTAGGGAAGAGCAGGCAAAGGGGCAGACAAGGCAAGGCCAGAGGGGGAGGACAGCCAGAGGAGGAGGGAGCCCAGGGGTGGGGGAGGCCAGAAGAGCTGGCTCTTGTGTTTGGAGGCAGAAATAAAACCAACTGGGTCACCTGCTACCAAAAACTCAATTATGAGGGGAACTGAAATGGGTTTGCTTCTGTGTAGTTGCTAACTTTTCCCCAACTAAACTCAACTATCAACAACTAGAGAATAGGAAAGACGGCTGAGACACATTTCTGCCCACCACCGTCCGGTGCGCACACGGCCAAGAACTGATGCCCACCCCGTGGATGGACCTGCCCCTCTGACTCTCGGGGTCCTGTCGTGACTGCAGGGCGGTGACATCGATACTACATCCATTCCTTCCGCTGCCACCAGCTCTCGGGAGGCACCCCCGTGGCCTGGCGATGTTTGTCAACAGCCCCACGTCAAGGCCGGTGTGGGACGGAGACACAGCAAGGGGACACAGCCATGACACGTCAACCCAACCCTAACCCGCTCTAAATACCTTTGCCGTGAACAGGGCCCCCATTCAGCACCCTGTCTGCAAATCACACGTCGCCCCCCTCCACCCCCGCTCCTCAGAACCTTTCTACTGGTTTAGTCCTCGACACAGTCTCCCAACACCTCACACGCATCTCTCTGGCTGGGCGCAGCCCTAATCTAGTCCCCACCAGGAGGTTCGAGAGAGCAAGTGGGCTGCAGGGCGGGGGGGGGGGGGGGGACGTAAAGGGGGTCAGAACTGCCCTTGATGCGGTCTAGACAGAGGCACCGGAACCAGGACTCTCCACCTCCTCAGCCTCCCGTCATCGCCGGGAAGAGCCAAGCACAAAAAGAGCCCGGAATTTGCATCAAGGCTCTGCATTCAAAACCTGACTCTCCCACCAACCAGCTCTGTGACCACAGGCAAGTTACTTCACTTCTCTGTGCGTTGCAGCCTGGTAGGCTCATCGGTAAAATAGGAAAGTAACCACACGTACTCGATGAGGCTGCTGTGAGGACCCCGGGGGTGAGAGAAGCGCTTTTATAAACTGCTCAGCTAGTAATTAGTTAAGGAATTAATATGCTGTGGCTCCAGGGTCGCCCATACTCCAATCCCCAGACACTTCCTCTGCGATTTAGGGAAGAGGTGGTATAAATAAATCCTGCTGTTTGTACTACTAAATAAAGAAGTCACACACACACGCACACACGCACACACACACACACAGTCCTGACCAGAACCACTTCAAACACACTCAGGAGGGAAGCTGATGCCATTGTGTTTCCCCTATAGATAAATTTCAAACCAGAGAAGGGTGCCAGCCCCTCCCAACCCTTTGTTCGGAGCTGCTCAGCCTGGAGCCCCCACCTTCCTCCCAGTGTCAACCCCGCTTCACCCACTGCTTATTCAAGACCCAGCGTAAACCCTGCTTTACCCACCCCTTCCAACCCAACTCAAGGTGCCTCAAACGTTAGGTGCCTCCCCTACCAAACAGAGGGACTAAAATGAACCCAGTTTCTGAGCCCCTTGCCTGCTGACCCCTCAAGTTGCCAGGAAGCTAACCCGAATCTGGAGAGGCTGGGGGCGAGGGGGATGGGAGGCAAGCGAAGACAAGGGCAGAAGTTCCCTCTTGTTTAATCAGCTCAGGAATCAGGGATCTAGAGGGTCTCCAGGGTGGGCGGCGTTCCCAGGGAAGAGGGTGGGGGGAGGGGAGCCCTGGATCAGACCAACAAGTGGAAATGGCAGAGGTGGACCGTGAGGGCGGCAGGACTGGTGTGGACAGGGAGGGCCCTGGTTTGCACGTGGGAGGCCGTGGAAGGGGATGTGTCCCGATGCGTTCACCTTGCCCCCACCCCCAAGGGGCGCGAGCACGCGTGCGCACACGCACACACACACACACACACACACACACACACACACACACTCAGTCCCCTGCTCAAACCAACCATGGATTATCTGGGGTTAAAAGGAGGCCAGAGAGAGAGAGGGAGGGAAGAGTGACTGTCACAAAAACAAGACCCTTCTCCCCCCAAAAGGCCTTTCAGAAATAAAATTAATGGAATGTGTCTCAGTACCATCCCAAGGGGATTGGGGGGAGGGGTGGGGGGGAATGTGGGGGCTTTTGTCCCGGCTGCCCAGCTTCTCCCACATTGATCGCCATGGCAACCAAAGCCCCCTGTTGCCTAGGTGATGGCAGCCGGGTCCTGGAACCCATACCCAGCATCCAAAGCGAGGGAGGTTGTGA